AAATAAAAAAATATTCCTTTTCAGTGCATAGCTGCCAAGGAATCACGAGGTCTGTAGTACTGTTAGGCTACCAAGCCTAGACAGGGATAGTCGAGATGCGGGGTTGGGTTCGAACCACGGACCTTCGCCCAGTAAACTCGGGTCTTAACCACCGAGCTACTCACGCTGTTACCGAGCTCAGACAGGAGCACTCGAAAACCTGTTCGTTTCTCACAAGATATTGACCAGATTGGTTTACATTGCGCCCCCTCCCGAGAATCGCTCTATTCAAATTATACCAAGCTATAAAGCCCAATGAAACTGGACAACATATCATATCACATCATTTCCATGGTCTCACCAGTTATTCACAATACAAAAAAGTTAAAATGTTTGCCGCAATACACTACTCATAAGGCCACTGAAAATTCCTTGACAGCCCACGACATTAGTGGTCTATCAGTTAGGAGCAGTCCCCGAGTTTCCGTCAACCTTATTTTCTACTTGAACCCAAACATCACAAATCAGAGATTCAGCTGGGTTCCAGGCGAGTCTCTGGCACAACTAAGTTTGTTTGCAAATGAGTGTATTTTGTTAAAATGTTTGTTTTCCCGTCTATTTGGAAGTGGAAATTGGTGAGAAAAGACGGTAGGTGTCAGGTAGATGAAAATCGTCTAGAACCGATCGAGGAGTATCTGCTTCAGAAAAGTTTGAAGAACAATCGGTGGCTTTGTTGCCAGAGGGAGCGAGATGGCCCAAATGGTTAGAGCGCGAATTTACTAACCCGAAGGTACGTGGTTCGAACCCGACATCTGCCTCTCGACTTCCCCTGTCTAGGCGTGGGCAACCTGGCAGTATCCAAGCCCTCGTTCTTCCTTCGGGTGGCATCGCAGCTAGGCATCGGAAGGGTGTTACAGCTGAACAATTTTTTATTTTGTTGCCAGACGACAGTTCGCTTACAATACAAACACATCATCAGGCCAAATGACTAGGTTAGAAGCTGGAGGAGAACCAGCCGGTAATATTGTTTCCAAATGACAGGACACTTACCTGATAAGTTCCACGGCTACTTGGCGGCATGGATAATGGAATCATCCAGTTGGAACGTTGTAAGCTATTCCGAGTTTTCTGTCCAATCAGCTTTTGTACTAGAGGGGTGTCGACGTGAAAGAGAGTAAAACACATGTTTGATGCAAACATTCTATGAAACACATCAGGTGCTCAATTCTGAAATGCGGGGCCCTATTTTAGCCAGTTCTCATCCAGTCGAGTTTGCGAACACACATCTCTTAGGAATTTCTTGCAGCCGAAGGTAAATAAATAAATTCCTGATTCGGAGAGGTCCAACTTCCTTTCTATAAATTACTAGGATCAATAAAGGAAACTACTCACAAGGTTGCTGAAAACTCTTCGACAGCCCACGATCAGTTTCGCCCTTCCACTTTGGGCTCATCAGGTAGGCGCAGTCCCCGAGTTTCCGTCAACCCTACGTTCTACTTGGAACCAAATTGCACTGGTTTTCGAGAAATACACTCATTTGCAA